TCTCTTTAGCTAATTCTCCTCTTCTTCAAGGCCTTGCTTCAGAATCTCCTCCCTTTTATACACCCCTCAGTCACACTGCCTTTTGCCATGGAACTTCTGGTAGCTCCCGTACTTATGCACTCATGTTTAAATCTTGTGCTATTTTGCACAAGAATAATTTGTCTCCCAATTGGAGAGTGAAGTCGTCTCCCCAAGTGAAAACCATGCCTTGTATACTTTGTAACTATTACCACATAGAGAAGACCCTCAATCATCTTCCCAACTGAGAGCACCATGGACCATTCAAAGACTGCTTCCCAGGGCCAGAAGCCCCCTCTGTAGTGAGGAGACTGGCAAGACCAGTGACTCCGAAACCAGGTCCTCTACCCTCAAAAGCACCTGGGAGTCTCATTCCCACCCCAAGCCTATTGAAGGAGAATCTCTGGGCAAGAGGACTGCCCCACAAAAAATCCCCTGATAACCCTCTGATGAAATGACTGGGAAGCACTGGTTTAAATTATTCCAAGTTTGCTTCTGCATCAAAGAAATTATGATTCCATACTTATTGACAAAGTTTCTATAGAACAACCCAGAAAATATTCCAATCGTCTTGTCCAGGTCTGCAGGAAGAAGAGAACTCACTTTTTATTGTTCCTTCAGGTTTTCTCTTTCTCATTCATTTTGCATATTTATCAAACATCTGTTCTGTGGAAGGTTCTGCTTCAAATACGCTGAGGAACAGAACCTTTGCCACAGGAAGTATGGGGGGGAGATAAGATATGTGCATGAGAAAATATTCAAGAGAGGAAATGAAAAATACCTGAAAATCTCTCCTTTCTCTCCCTGCATTTTGCCTGGCGAGCGAAAGATAGAGGAGAAAGAGCGATCAGAATTTCTCCCCACCTCTGCTAACCCTGATGGGACCTCACTGTGACCCCTTTGGCCCAGAGACACACATGGATACAGTGTTTGCCCCGTACCTTCCCAGTAGCCACTCTGCCTCCTCCTGACAGCAGCTGTTCCTCCCTCCTCTTGCTCCAGAGCTCTGCGTGGGTCTTTGCCCCAGCTCTGAGGATGTAGCAGATGACACGGGTCCAGCCAATCACAGCATGGCCTAGGCCTGGCCAGAGATGAGTTCAGGGATGTGCAATGGTGCTAAGCTGGTCCCGTCAGAGTGACTCTCTCAAAAGTCCCAGGACTTTTGTAGGAGCTTCTAGGAAAAACTCTGGCTTCCTCTTGTTGAAGGAAATGGAAGGGGAGAAAGAACTGCTGGGGTCACTGTAGCCATCATGCCACCTAGAGGAGAGAGCCTGGCCCATCCCAGGGAGCCCCCAATAAACAAAGCCAAAAGAGCAGAGGGCAGAGTGGAGGGAAACCAAGTCCTCATGAAGGTGTCTGTGTCCTGAATCCAGCCATACCTACAGCCAGAGTTATTCCCGGACTTTTCATTTACATGAATTCATATATATATATATATATATATATATATATATACACACATATATATATATATATTTTTTTTTACTTATGCCGACATGCTTAATGGAGATGAATTTCTGTTACTTGCAGAGTTGCAGCTGATTCGTATCAACATAGGGACCACAGAGCATGCATTAGTATGTAGTGGGAACATACTTTAAGATGTTTTCACATCTGTTATTCCATGCGACCTTCACAATGACCCCACGAGGGAATATGGCAGCTTGGAGAGCAGAAAAGCCCTGCTAAAGATCAGAAAACAATGTTTAAAGTCTGAGTACCAGCAGCTGCATCTCTTGGGACCTCGTTAGAAATACACAATATCAGCACTGCCTTAGACAAGCTGAATCAAACTGCATTTTAACGACATCCACGAGCGATTTGTACGCACACTGAAGCCTGAGAAGCTCTGTTAGAATACTGTCTCTGCTGCTTCCCGGCTGGGTGACTATGTGCAAACTACTTGATTTCTCAAGTTTTTTTTCATGCAGACAACAGACATTGTAATAACACACTATAACAATGCAGCTTTCGTGCAAAACTGAAACTACTAAGTTTTAATTGTAGCTCTTCCAGTAGCTAAATACAATCCTGGGCAAGTTAGTGAACTTCTATTAGCTTCAGATTCCTCATCTGTAAAGCTGAGATAATAATACCTGTCTAACAGGACTGATGTCAGGATTAAATAATGTATGTAAATTGGTTGATACATTATTTGTCCCAGAGTACCAGGACTCAATTAAAGGTATATATTATTGTTATTGTTGTACTCTGATAATTACTGCTATTATCCACCCTATATACCTCACAGGGTAGGGTGATTATGAGCCTCCAAAGATAACATATGAAAAAAATGCTTAAAGCCACATAACTCAAGTATAGTCCTTTCCTGATCTGGAAACTGAGGTTCACAGAGGTTAAGCAACTTGTCAAAGCTCACTAAAGCAGGAAGGGGTAGAGCCCAGGCTGACATCACCACCTTCCAATCTGGCATAGGTCACACGGTTGTCAACGGTTCTATGTTTATTTGCTTTTACTCCCACCAGACTGACTCCTCACCAGCTTGCTACCTCTACCTCCGTGGTACCTGGCCCAGTTCCACCCGTGGTGAGCCCTCAGTGAACATTTGCTGAAAGCATCTGACCTCTTTAACCCATGGTTTTTGCACCACCCCAAACTATCTCCCTAAGGAAGGTATTACTATGCTTTGGTAGTTTAAGAAGCCAATTACGGCTGTTAATCCTAATTAGAAACTTATGACAACATCTCATCTGGAGACCAAAGCTCCACTGGGAACTTAGTGTAGAAATTCACTTCTAGACCTCAGGGGAGACTCCAGGAGAACAGGAAATTTGGCTGGATACAAAATGGGGTGGGATCCTTACTTGTCTGAAAGTAGCAACATACTTTCTTTAGAAAAAAAAAAAAAAAAAAAAAAAAAACAAGCCAGGTTCTGCCTGAAGGAGAACTGTTAGCAACCGAACTTCAGAGGCAATGATGTAAGCGCCACTGATTCAGGACTCTGAAAGCTAGTTGACACAGCACTCATCTACATAGGTAAACCTGTCAGAATGTCAGCACTAGCCAGAAACATCCACTGAGCCTTTGTCTTTTGACTTCAACTTTGAAGGTGGATTTAGGCCTGTGGTTCTTGGACAAAGTGGACCCTAAAGTCAATGTGGAATGAGCTAGAGTAAACAGGAAAAAAATCCCTATTAAATGGAACAGTAGAAAGCACAAAATAAGAGGATAGATTTAAACACAAATATAGCCTTAATTACAAGGAATCCAAATAGACTCAGTGAGCCAGTTAAGAGAACTCCTGCAAACCATTAAGAAGACACAATGCTGAGGCCGAGGTGGGCAGATCATGAAGTCAAGAAATCGAGACCATCCTGGCCAAAACGGTGAAAGCCCGTCTCTACCAAAAAAAAAAAATACAAAAATTAGCTGGGCATGGTGGCGTGCCTGTAGTCCAAGCTACTCAGGAGGCTGAGGCAGGAGAATTGCTTGAACCCAGGAGGCGGAGGTTGCAGTGAGCCGAGATCGCACCACTGCACTCCAGCCTGGCGACAGGGCGAGACTCTGTCTCCAAAAATAGAAGACATAATGCAAAGGAAAAGCATGGGCAAACGACTTGAAAAGAAACATCCCACCACAGAAGATCCAGATGGAACAGTCAATAAACAGATGAAAAAGTTTATGCCCAATTAGGAGAATAAAATATAAAGCTGTGATAAACCATGATACTCTCTCAAGACAGGCAAAAATTTAAAACTCGTTGAACAAGACAACGGGTTAACAAGAATGTGGACCACTGAAAACTCTTACACACTACTAGTAGGAGGACAAAGTTGAGACAACTAATTTTGGAAAGAGCTTGCTATCATCTAGGAAAGTTGAAGTAAGCATGCCTTATGATGCAATGTCTCAATCCTAGTTACATATGTACCTCTAGTTTTATGCACATGTGCATATATACCAAGATGACATGTTTGAGAAGGTTCAGATTAGCTCTGTCAGTAAAACAACACAAATGTCCATCAAGAGTAGAATGGATAAAGTATATAGCCATACAATGGTAATGTATATAACAATGAAAATACATAGACATGCCCAACAATGTGGATGCCATTATGTTGAATGAAAGAAGGAAGATCTGTAAGAACACAGCATGATTCCATTTATATAAAGTTCAAAAACAGATAAAACTAAACCATAATGTTTAGGGAGGCATATACAGGCAATAGAATGACAAGGAAAAGCACGGATATGATTATCGTTGAAGTCAGGAGAGTAGAGAGGGAAGAGTTGAACATGAGGACGGATTCACAGGGGCTTCTGGGTGCTGTCCATATTCTATTTCTTGACTTTGGTGGTGGTTTTATGGGATTTATGAGATCTTATTACTTTTTAAACTGTACAATACATAATTAGCCATTTATCTGTGTGTTCTCTTACACTTTGCAATTAAACAAGAAGGAAAGAAAAGAAAGAAATGTAGATCAGCTAAAACAAAAGCAAAGTCTGGTTTGGAACTATTTGAATTCATCCCAGAGTTCTGACAGTGGCCAATTCAGTCAAGGGCTGCTTAGAAGGACTTCTATGAGGCTTAAGACGTAAATATGAAGGAAAGAGAAAAGACCAAGAGATCAAGGGTGTGACAGAGGAATAAAAAGCTACTGAAGGTCTGTGTAGGTAGAGAAGGTTGTATTCAAGGGTTTATACCTGGAACGCCCAGCACTTTTCCCTCCTGCCTTCTTCCTTTAAGACTTCCCCTGTAAACACCTTTTTCTGGAAAATCTTCCTTGGCTCCCAGGTAGTCTCAAGCGTCTCTTTGCATTTTGTATTTACATCGAGAGCACTTTTCTTGCCATGCTGCAGTGGTTTGCCTTCCCAAGTGAGATCCTCAAAGGCAGTGTGTAATTTCTGAATCTTTTCCTATCCTCTCCTTTCCACCAGCATTTAGGTCAGTGCCTCACAAGGAGGAGAAACTCATCTGGTGCTTGTTGAATGACTAAATGAACAAGATAATGCTTTACCTTGAGCTGCAATTCCTTGTATCTCTTGGACATCCGAATGAGCAACTTCTCACCATTGATCACAGCAGATTTTTCTTGATAATACTGGACCATGGCCTGTGCAGCTTCTGTGTAAGCCATCTCTAAAAAGGCCTAAGAAAGAAAGAAAGGACACCCGTTGGATCTGACTTTAATGGTCTTAAACAAAAGTCAGTAAAAGGCATGATTCCATGTATCTGAAGTTCAAGAACAGGCAAAAAATAATCAATGGTGACAGGAATTAACATTGAGCTTCTCTCTGGGGTGGGGATGGGGTACTGATGGAGAAAGCATAAAGAAATCTGACATTCTGGAAATGCTCTATATCTTTACCTCGGTATTAATTATATGGGTGTACACATGTAAAAAAATTAATGGAATTGTACACTTAGGATGAGTGTACATTATGCACTGTAGAGTATGTGTTTTATACCTCACTTAAAAGGAAAAAAAAAGTCAGTACAAGGGAGAGATCTCTTTGATCCCATCTGCTCAAAGAGACCTTTTTATTAACATCACCAAAACAGCTCATTATAAGATGGCCCTTTCCCGATGCCCAGGGTTATCAGACATTGGTCTTAATTATGTGTCTGTCTTGGGATACATTGTGCCATGGAATCCCTCTGAGATGGGAGAGTCCACTAACCCACATTTCCCTGGAGGGGCAGTTGCATATGTGGCCTTGGGCTGATCCCTATAAAACTTGCTATTTGGTGGTGATGGTGACAGCAAGAGACACAAGCTTTAGTTATTTGAGTTCTTACTTTCCTTATAAAGAAAGAAACATTCTCAAAACTCAGCGGCTCACAAACCCCTAGGCTTGAAGGAAGGCCATGTTGTCATGAGTTACAGAAAAAGGAAAACTCCCCAATTATGTTTCCACAGCATCTTTCTTCTTTATTTAACTGTTCTGATAAAACACAGAGAAATGGGTTTTCCATTCAGTCTGTGTCTACTGAGAGTTCCAAAGAGACTGTTTTAACTGTGCATCAATTTATCCCAGTAGCTGGTGTGGCAAATTTGTTGCTGCTATTGTTTCTTGGATTATTTGGTTCGTACTATACTGACGATGTACTGATCCTGATTCCTCTATGCTACAAGGGAAAAGGAGTCGGTGACAGGGAAGCCCCCGTTGTGAGACCCTAATACTCTCATTTCCTTGAACTGAAGGGGCTAAACAAGCTCATCCCCTTCCTTCTCTCATATTTATTTCTGAATTTCAGATGCACGGCTTTTCTCTGTGCTGTCATAGTCTACAGCATTAGCGTGGGTGACTAAGCAAGATTCTTTAGGGTTTTATTTCACATTCTGCCACCCAGCTTTCTAAGTGCCTCTTTCTTGTTAAACTTTTCAGCACCTGTAGCTCTCACTCGTCAAATGGGAATAATACTAATCTAGGGACTCTCACCACATCAATGCTGCAAGCTGAATTCTGTGCATTTACCCAAAGTAGAATTTCTGAGAAGTAGGAACAAAGACAAGTGAGTAGCCTCACCCCAGGCCGATGGAGAGAGACACCTAATGACTTGATATGGCTGTGAGTCTCCAAAGTTCACCCTTCTTTAAGAAAAGAATCTCTCCTATGCCGGTTCTTCCAATTCATAAAGTAAAAACATTCATTAAAAGATAAAATATTCTGATTCCTGACCATTGAGGGTATAAACTCCCCACCTGACTTTAGAAATGAAGACAAACGTACTCTGTCCCCAAGGGCTCAGTCAACTCCCACAGGTTAAGGATTCTTAGTTCCTTAGACTTACTAAGCATCTATCCATTCTCACACTCCTACTCTTCTGTGAGACAAAGGGCCTCACCTGCTGACATCAAGGACCAGCAAAAATACCTAGTCCCAGGTTCTTGGCTCCAAATCCAGGCCATCAGATAGGATAAGCTTAGAAGACAAGACTGAAGCATTAGCTCAGGTGGTTGACAACAAAGTGAAGAGACTCAGTCTGTAGATTTTTATTTTGGGGGCCAATTACCTTTTCTATGTGAATGAGCACCTCATTCCAAAGCACCTCCTCTCACCCCTAGGCGTTTCACAAAGGCCTGTACCCATCACTAGAAGGATAGAGTGAAACTAGAGGAAACAAAAAAAAACACTACCAACAAAAACGTCTATGCCATGCTAACAGAAGGCCAGCTATGCATCACCTCTTTATGTTAAGAGTGGCTTCTTTCAAAAATTATATATTTCCCTTTCACTAATGTGTGGTCTGTCGCATACACACTGGAGTGAAAGTACCCAGACCTACCTGATTAGTCGACTTCATGAGGATATAATTAGTGACCTTTCCGAATGGCAGCCCCAGGTTAATGACGTCATTCTCAGTGCAGCTTCCTTCAGGGAGATTGCAGATGTGCACCACGCGGCCAGCCCCTTTCCACTGTGCAAACAATGGGAACAAGGATCAGCAGTGGTCTTCCGAAGACCACTCCCTTTTCCCCTCTCTTCCAGACATTCCTAATGGCTATCTTTCCCCCGAACAACGATTGCAAAACTATAATTTACAAATTGAATGCAGAAAAAACCCATTCACAGACATACATAAAATATCAATTTTATTCTATCTCTTTACAGAAGGATTCATAATACATATTTTTTTGAGACAGGGTCTCACTCCCATTGCCCAGGCTAGTGGGCAGTAGTGTCAACACGGCTCACTGCAGCCTTCACTTCTGGACTCAGGTGATTCTCCCACCTCAGCCTCCCAAGTAGCTGGGACTATGGGTGTGTATCACTATGTCATAATAATATTTTTAATAAGCAATTACTTCCGGGGCTGTAGAGAATATGAAGAAATGAGCATATCCACATGTGGCTAGTGGGAGGTTTGAGTATCAATAATCTTTTGAGAATATACTTTAGCAATATTACATAAAACAAAGTATACAGAGCCTATGATCCTGCCATTCCATTCTTCAAAATGTGTCCTATAGAAATAACAGCACCCCAATATGTGATGGCTCACGTGCGAGAAAATTTATCACAGTAATTTATTAGGTGGCAAAAAATTTTGGAAACAGCCTGAATGCCCAACAATAGGGAAATGTTTGAGTAAATGATGGTTCAATCATAAAATACAAAACTACATACCCATGACAAGAAGGAGGTGAATGTGCTGATATAGAATATTCTTTTTTAGGAGTCAGAGTCTTGCTGTACCACTCAGACTAGAATGCAGTGGCACAATCATAGCGCACTGCAGCCTTGAACTCCTGGGCTCAAGCCATCCTCCCTACTCAGCCTCCCAAATAGCTGGGACTACAGGCTTGAGCCCCCACACCCAGCTAATGTTTTTATTTTTATTTTTTGTAGAGACAGGGTCTTGCTGTATCGCCCAGGCTGATCTCGAACTCCTGGCCTCAAATGATTCACCTTGGTGATATGGAATAATTATAAAGACAGATTGTTAAGTTAAAAGCAGGCTAGGCCGGGCGCGGTGGCTCAAGCCTGTAATCCCAGCACTTTGGGAGGCCGAGGCGGGTGGATCACGAGGTCAAGAGATCGAGACCATCCTGGTCAACATGGTGAAACCCCGTCTCTACCAAAAAAAAATACAATTAGCAGGGCGTGGTAGTGCGTGCCTGTAATCCCAGCTACTCAGGAGGCTGAGGCAGGAGAATTGCCTGAACCCAGGAGGCGGAGGTTGCGGTGAGCCAAGATCGCGCCATTGCACTCCAGCCTGGGTAACATGAGTGAAACTCCGTCTCAAAAAAAATAAAAATAAAAAATAATAATAATAATAAAAAAAAAAGCAGGCTACCAAGTGGTATGTGTGCTATGATGCCATTTTTGGAAAACAAAACAAATATATGAGAAAAACATAGATGAAGAAAATGTAAAATTTTGATAATCATTGGAATTGAGTGATGGGTATACAAAGATTAATTATACTGGTCTCTACTGTTCTGTATGTTTAAAATTTTTTGCAATAAAAAAATGCTTAAAGAATATCAGCACAGAGAAAGGTATGGAGCATATATATCGACTTGTCAATGCTGGTTATCTTCGGAGGAGAAGAATGGAAAGGCGAAAAGATGAGATATGCTGAACCTTCTTCATGTATACCTCATGTTGTCTGACTTACAATTCCAATAAAGAAAAAAGAACATAGGAAAGTTTGTGGGATTCTAATACATATGCACTGACATTCACAGCAACAACCTGTGGTTTAGGGCAGTGGTTTTCAAGATATTTTTAGCATGGAATGCTTTCTTCAAATAAAGTTTGTTTATCCCAATGTATCCAACAAATAAAAGTGGAGCTCTTCTGGTCAATCCTTGGGGTCCAGCACCCTGGCACCACCCCCACCTGGCAGTCTCAAAGGTACCTCTAAGGAGCACAGTTTGGAAGCCAGCATTTGGCCCTAATCAAAGCTCCTGGAGGGAGGAAGTGTGTCTGTTTTGTGCAAACCTTAATGAGCCTGGAATCTCTGGGAGGGTCAAGAATTAGTAACCATAAACCAACCTACAGTGGAAGAGAAGGATATAATTTTCCAAACCTGAAACACATTCTGATAGCATAGCCTACATTTGCATAATCACAATTTTCTATGTTAAACTGAACTTCAACATCTAATTACATTTGATGTGGGTCCGACTCTGCTAAGGTAATACAGGGGGGAACGTCTGAGATGTCATCCCTAACAAGGGCTAATACTTGGGTAGTTCTACCATGAAGAACCCTCATTTGTCTCATCTGAGCTGAAAACAATTACAGTCAATAAGGATTTCCTTTTATGGTTCAGCCCTGAATTGTAGAAGCCCAAGAGTGCGTCTCTCCGACCTCCCACTCTGCAATGTCCAGAGACGAAGCACATTCCCAAAGGCGGGCAAGGATTCAGGCAGCTGCCAAAGCAGCGCCTCATCTCCCTAAAGTGCAAATGAGCTCTCCATGAGCTAGGAGACTTTGAGACTGAGCCTGGCTAGTGAGGACAGAACCCTTCTGCAGAGATGAAAGGAGGAAGGCTATTAAGAGGCAGAATCTTTGCCTCCCACTAGGGTGAATGTTCACATAAACATGCTGACACAGCTGAGCTTTCAAGCAGGGCAGAGTGGCTGGTCCTCTGAGCTTATCACAAGGAGAGCTGAGGCTGGGCGCTCTGCCTGGTCTCCTCTTAGCGAGGCATGTTTCTGCCCCATGTGACTTTGCTGTGGTTAGCCTGGGCTAATGTGTGCTTGGACAATGGAGCAGACACCCAAGGCAGTTCCGGGCTAATCCTGCTGGTGGCCGGTCCACTTGCCTAGTGAACAGGCATGAGGGCCAGCGCCTCTCTCATTGTCTCCTCCAGACTGAAAGGACAACTCAAGAGGCTTTTATCGGAGCACAGAACAGCAACTGCTGCTGCTGGGTAGTAGAATAAACGACCTCGCAGCCGCCGGTCACCGAAAAAGAGAAGTATTCATGCTGTAGATGTTATTACCAAAGGCACTAAAATGAATGGGTCTCAATTAAAATTCCCACTCAAATTTTAAAAAGGACATCTTCTGAGTACTTTCTCTTCCAAGATTTTAATCAGAAATAGAAGTTGGATTTTTACCAATTCCCTTGTTGTCATTTATTAAGATAATAATGCGGTTTTTCGTATTCTTCCAGATAATAGTAATTTGGAGCTTTCCAACTATGAGCGACATCAAGAGCAAATGGTTATAGGAGTGCCAAGATATTGATCCCTCAGGCTGAAGGCCAAGCCCCTCCAGTGACCATGAGCAGCTTCTTCAGTTTATAGCAGATCATTTTCTAAGTGAGTCATGAAGTGAAAATCTTGAGAATCTGTGGGTTAATCGTTTGCTGCTGTGTGGTGTCTGGCTTCAGGGCATGTGGTAAATCCTATCCGGTTAGAAAGATAAATTAATTTTTATATGTTCTATTCTTTTGCCAATATTTTATTTAGGATAGTTCATCAAGTTCTTTTCTGCCATTGATCGGAAATATCTTTTGGTTGTTGCTAAACTCCATTTAGGTTCAAAACTATAATTGATTCATAAAAGATGTACAATACCAGGTATTATCACTTGTGTTATTCTCATTACACTTTACATAAACATGGCTATTTTTTGCCCTGTGCCCAGTGGGAGATCTGAATGGTGAGGGAGAAAGGCAGGGAGCGAGGAAGGAAAGTGAGAAGGGAAGAAGGGGGAGTGAGGTCTCTGGGTGGTACATCAAAGGTACAGTTTGCACATTGGGGGCACTGGCAATCCTGAGTACTCTTGAGCAAGCATCACCAAGCTGTGCAGTAATTCCCAACCTGGGCTCTCTTATAAGCCCTTAAAGGTCTTCGAAGGTAATAACTACAGGAGGCAGGGGGCTAAACATTATTTTTGACATTGAAAAATGCGTGTAATCCCAGCACTGTGGGAGGCCGAGGCGGGTGGATCACGAGGTCAAGAGATC